GCCCCTCACCCCGTCAATCCTTACTCAAACTTCCCGTCTCAATTTAAAAGCCCTTCCCCCAAGGAATCCCACAGCCAATGTTAGAAACTACCACCTCCTCACTGGCTTCTCTGTTCTGCCCTTGTTCCCGATCAGCCTGTTATCAACACAGCAGCCAGAAAGGTTCAGTAGAATTGTGGAGTCAGACCACGTCACCCTGAGCTCAAAACCCTCCAATGGCTTCCTTGCTCACTCAGAGTTGTTAAAGGGAAACCACAGGCCCAAGATGGAGTCACCTGTGATAAAAGCTCATGATGCTAAACCTAGATTTAATACCTGACCTAACTGCAGTTTCCATTTCTCCCAGTAATATAATCTTAATCAACTGGTATGGAATTTTCTGGTCAAGTACCAGTAAGGCAATCTGTCACACGGGCCCTCTCCGGCCCTGGAATACTTTACCCCCCCCCCCCCCCGCCCCCACATACACACACACAGAAAAGAAAAGCGCAATCTGCACGGAAAAAAACCCTTCTCCTTTTTCTTTTCCAAAGAAAAGATGTTGGCCCCCAAATAATCCTCTCTTTTCTTTTGTTAATAGTTCCTTTGCCCCAGCTCTCCTTCCTACAAAAGTCTTCCATTTTGTACACCTCTCAGAGTGGCCCTTTTAGTTGCTGGATGAGATGGTGTCCGATTCGATTCATGAGTCATGCATGAAGACAATTAGATCTTCAAAATAAACTTTATTTTGTTAAATTTTATTTAGCAATGCCAAAACCGTAACATACTACAAAATTTGCCTTATTGCTGCTACTCTCTCCCCATCCCGCCCTCCCCATCTTCTTCCAGCTGTAACTGGCCTTTTTATCTCACACCAGCCCCACTCCTGCCTCAGGGCCTCTGCGCTTGTTCCTCTTGCTCCTTCACTTTCTTCACAAATTAACTCGGAAGTCACCTTCTTGAACTCTGACATTTGTAACAACATGGATGAACCCTGAAGGCATTATTCTAAGTGAAATGAGCCAGTTGCGAAAAAACACTGCATGATTTCACATACATGAGGTACGTAGAGGAGTCAACATCATAGAGACAGAAAGTAGAACCCTGGTTGCCAGGAGCTGGGGAGAGGAGAGAGTGGGGTGTTACCCATTCAGTAGGAATAGCATTTCAGCTGGGGACAATGAATTCAGTGAATGGATGGTAAAAGGACAAAGCCAGCCCCATTTGCCATTGTGGCACCATTTGCTGAGCAGGCCTATGACCTTCTTAAACATGGTTGCCATTTTACTCTTCTGAGTTTATGTCTCCAGGACTGGAAATTACTGGAAAGCAAGAACAGAACTAACCGCTCCCTACAGCCACAGGCGGAAGATAGCACTGGAACAAACTGCAGCCCCCGCTACAGCGCCCCAGCAGCCCAGGGGCTGCACAGCAGCGACCCCTTCCCCAACCTTTTTAATCCAATTATAGTCCAGTGCAGGCGCAAAGCCCCCACCCCTCACTGCTGGTGTCTCTCTTCACACCATGCCCCTCTCCTTTTTTGTAGAGTGAATAAAACCTTTATTCTCTACACTTTCTTCTCTTTGTGAATTCTTTCACGGCCCGCATCACCAACCACCCTAATAGATGGTTGTTAACACTACAAATGTACTTAACACCCCGGTACTGTAAACTTAAAAATGGTTAACATGGTAAATATTGTTATGCGTATTTTGCTGCAACAACAACAAAAAAGTCACCTTCATTGTGAGGTCTTCCGAGCCACCCTTTGTAAATGTCAACCCGTCGGCAGACTGGGAGTCATGGGTAGGCAGGACAGGGCCAGGGCCAGAAAGGCCGGCTTCATGGACCCCTCTGGAAGAAGGGAGAGGGGAGGGGGTTTGGAAAGGAAGGGATGTGGGCAGTACGCAGCCAAACGCCCCGCCCCGCCCCCCACGCCCCCAACCAGTTGAGCAGAAGCAGGGGTCGGGATTCCGGAGGAGCTAGCCTCCGCAGAGAGGCTGCAGGGAGGATGTGGCTTCCACTGCTGGGAAACGCCCAGCCCGGGTTCAGGAGCCGTAACCCTGCCGACAGGCTGGAGGGCCCCAAGGCTGGAAGTATTCAGGAGGCCTTGGGAAAACAGGCTCCTGAGGAGACTTGGCCTGTCCCCTCCACCCACCCGCCCCTCCCCCGCAGGCGTGTAGCGCCTGCCTCTCTGCTTTGTCATGGATGGTCAAATAGCCAATGGCAGGTAAGTTACCCTGCGCTGAGGTAAACAACCTAAGACAGGTATTGGCCGATATTGGCAGCAGACAAGAAATTGGGGACACGGAGAAGGGGCCGAGAGGCCCCCACGCCCCTCGGCTTGGCCTGGACACGGCCAGAGTCCTCATTGCAGCCGAGAAGCAGTCTCCTCATCTCTTAGTGGCTCCCTCCCGCCGCCTGGCTCAGGCTTGAAACAATGCAGGAAAAACAGCCCTAAATCAGATCTGGCGGGTCCCGGGGTAATCAGGCCTAAAAGTAAGTTCTTTAGATTGTGCTCTGTTCCTCCCTCAAATCTCTGGTCAGCTCATGCTGCGAAGGACATTCACATTATTTACACCCCTTTCCTAGTCAAGACATTTGCTTTATTTACACCTTTCACCCTATGTCTTTAAGGCGCCTTTAGGTCTACTTCCCTGCTATCTATAGTCTCTACTGATTCTAGTCTCCTCTCAGACCCATGTAAATCAGTGATTTCCTGTCATTTGTTTTCCTAAAGGTATCTATCCTCTGTGAAACTTAACTTCCTAATGTAACGAGTGTACATATGTATGCTTTCCTGTTATATACCCCACTAAGATTTTTAATAAAAGCCCTGGAACAAAGGGAAACGGGCCTTCCCCACTGGAGGGATGTGCCACGGCCTTCTCCTGTGAGAGGGAAGTGCCCCGTCTGCTCTCCCGGAAAACAGAGAAGCGTTTGCGACGTTTTGTATTTGTCCCCCTCATCTGCGACAGCCCCGGGACAGGCTCTGCGGGTTTCAGAGCCCTGCTCCCACCTCAGCTGGCCCCAGCCAGTTTCCCTCAGGTTTCAGGGAGCGCAGCGCTCTCTGCGGTGCTCCCCCTCGGCAGTGTGATACTCCACTAGTTCCGGTGCTGGCCCTTCACAGCCCCCGCCTCCATTTCTGCAGACCTGGTTGCTGTGGAAGGCAGACGTGGCAGGAGGCCTGCAGTAGTACCACCGCCTTGCCCCTTCCACCTGCGCGCCCTCCGGTAGCACCGTTGTCTGGTTGGTTTGGGTCTCAACCTACATGCCTACTCTCTGCATCCATACCCCCAGCAGGAAAGCAATCGCAGCCAGGCTCAGAGAACCCATCCTTGGAAAGTTCTGAAAGGTCCTGACCCCAAGGGGACAGGGCTCCTACACTGGTCAGGGCCAGATGCCAGCAGGGCCACAGGAAGTTGAGTCTGGCCCAGAGGGAGACCAACATTCACGACCACTTCAACCTCCAGGTGACGTCTTTAGAGACCAGTCTGCGACCTGGGTCAAGACCGAACACCATGCCCTTGCAGGACAACGGTGCTCTCACGTCCCGTCATGGGCCAGAGGTCCTTTTTCTGCTCTCTGTCTAGGACTCTTGAGTGGAAACCCCTTTGGCTGGAGCAAGGGCCTGGAGGCACTAGACCCTGACCATGATGGCCTATTCTGCCCCAGCCCTCACACTTCCCTTCTCCCAGAAGCTACCACCAAAGCCAGGGCCCTCCCAGTGCTTTCCCAGTGCTCAGGCCTAGGGAGTAGCCCTACTGTGCCTGTCACTCTGACTCCTGCTACAGCCTCCTCCTTGAGAACTTTCCCGCCACTTCCTGACCCCACACAGCCAGGCCGTTTCACAGGCTAAAACCTAGACCCCTTGCCAGGTTGCAGCATGTACTATCTCATTTATTCACAATAACCCTATGAAGTAAAACATTGTTATCACTACCATCTTTACACATGAGGAAACAAAGGCTCAGTAAAGTTAAGCAACTGGGCCCAAGTCATACAGCTAGTGAGTGTTGAAAAGAGATACCAAACACAGGTCTGCCTAGCTTTTGGAATCCACGTTCTCAAATTCACTGGTCTGCAGAGTAGTACTAAACTGCCTTTTGCTTTTCACCTCCATTGACCAGCTTCTGGGTACGACCCTCCTGGTTGCAGGCCTGACCACCCAGCTTAACCTGTTTTTGTTGTTGTTTTAAAGCCCCATCCCCTAATCACGTCCTTCTCCCTCTTACAAGTGAAACTCAATTGTAAGTTATCACGTCAGACTGCCTGATTTTTAAGTTAAAACATTTTTAAGTTAAATGTTTTAAGTTACATATCTTGAAATATTTTTTAAACATAAAATTTTCATTTTTTTTAAGACTTTATTTATTTATTTTTAGAGAGAGGGGAAGGGAGGGAGAGAGAAACAACATGAGAAACACTGATCAGTTGCCTCTGTGAGCGCCCCACCTGGAATGGAGCTGCAACCCAGTCATGTGCTCTGACCAGGAATCTCACCCCAGACCCTTCGCTTTTCAGGAGAAGCCGCAACCAGCTGAAATGCACCCGTCAGGACTTACAATACTTTTTAAAGTTTTAAAGCAACATTAGGTCTTAATAACAAAATTCTCCAGAATTTTTAAGTCAGAACATGAAATTGGTAAAATAAAACAAAAACTCTCCTGGTCAGGGAGAATTTGTGCTCCTCCGCTTATTGTCCTGTTCCCCTTTGCTCTGATTCCCTCTGCTCTGAGGTTGGGGTATGAGAGCCCATGCCTGGCACCGAGCAAAGACAACTATTGTGATTTCAGGAGCCCAGGGGAGGGGGTGCAAGGGTATGACCCAGCCAGAGGTTCTGGGAAGCAGCAGCCCGCTGACTCAGCTCGACTCTCTGCAGAAGCTTCTGGTCCAGAGTATTAGCCACTGGCTCCGCCCCTTCTCTCCCCGCCAATTCGCCCAGCCCTGGCTTTCGTTGTTTCCACTTTCAAGGCATATCCAGCGTGGGTCGGCAGAGAGAAGGGCCAGTCCCCAAGGGGAAAGACAGTCCGGGGTTACCAACGGGAACGCCATGGCTGCGCCCGCCCGCCGTCTGTGCCACATCGCTTTCCACGTGCCCCCAGGACAAACCCTTGCCCGGGATCTGCAGCGCCTCTTCGGCTTCCAGCCCATGGCGGTGCGGGAAGCAAATGGTTGGCGGCAGCTGGCCCTGCGCAGCGGGGACGCAGTCTTTTTGGTGAATGAGGGCTCGGGATCCCGGGAGCCGCTCTACAGCCTGGACCCGTGTCACGCCATGCCCAGCGCCACCAACCTGTGCTTTGATGTGGCAGATGCTGGCGGATCTGCTCGGGCGCTGCAGGTGAGGGGCTGCTGCGTGCTGGTGCCGCCTGTTAGCGTACGGGATGCGGAGGGTGCTGTCACGTACACGGTAGTCAGCTCGCCGGTGGGCAACCTCAGCCTAACGCTACTAGAGCGCGCCAACTATCGCGGACATTTCCTGCCCGGCTTCCAGCCCCTGTCCTCCAAAATCGGCCCGGGCTGGATCAGCCATGTGGATCACCTGACCCTGGCCTGCACCCGCGGTAGCTCCCCCGCACTGATGCGCTGGTTCCACGACTGTCTAGGCTTTTACCACTTGCCACTGAGTCCGGGGGAGGTTCCGGACTTGGGCTTCGAGGTGACAGCAGCATCTGGACGAGGGGGGCTGAGGCTCACTGCCCTGCAGAGCTCCGCAGGCAGTGCTATCCCCACTCTCCTGCTGGCCGAGTCCCTGCCAGGGGCCGCCAAGAGCCAAGACCAAGTGGAGCAGTTCCTGGCCCACCACAGAGGGCCAGGCCTGCAGCACGTGGGGCTGTACACACCAAACATCATGGAAGCCACTGAAAAGGTGACCTTGGCTGGGGGCCAGTTCCTGACTCCTCCTGAGGCCTACTACCAGCTGCCTGACAAGGAAAGGCAGATCCTAGCTGCAGGGCATGAGCCCAGCCAGCTGGCCCAACAGGGAATCCTGCTAGATGGCAGTAAAGGCCAGTTTTTGCTTCAGATCTTTACCAAGTCACTCTTCGCAGAGGACACCTTCTTCCTGGAGCTGATTCAGAGGCAGGGGGCCACAGGCTTTGGCCAGGGCAACATCCAGGCCCTGTGGCAGTCTGTGAAGGAGCAAGCTGCCAGGAGTAAGGAAGCTTGACAGCCGGAGCTGGCAACCACCTGTCCTGAAGGTGTGAAGAATCCAGCCAGCACAGGGCCTGGCAGAAAGGAGAAACACCTAGAGGTCCAGAGTGAAAGACTGTCCCTAGGGCCACCAAATCATCAAGGTGGCCTCCATCTCATCAGTACCTGCCAGAAGCTGAGTCTCTCACTGGGGTGGGTTGGTTGGTTTTTACTACAAAATATTTCTTACATAGTATTTCTCTAATACATATAGAAGATATAAAGAATAAAATATATAAAATATAACCAATCCTTTCAAAGACTTTTGTGCCCCTCTCTTCATTTCCCTACACCCACTCCCAATTTTAGGATCATTAACCCCCTGCTTTTCTGTATTGTCTCACTACATATGTAACATATCCCTAATCAAATGATTTCTTATTTCAGGTAAGAATTTAAGACAGAACAAATCTTCCCCTGTGCTTTCCAGCTCCCTAAGGAGCAGCCACAACAGCGAGGAGGGGCTCATTCAGGGCTGAGCCAAACCACCTGCTATAGAGCAATACCACCCACCGCTCCAGGATTGGCCAGAGACCTGGAATGAGGGTGCAGAGTATCAGCCACTGGCAGGGCCTCCCTGCAGCTGCTTTCTCCCTCTCTCCCAGGGACGGAGGAAGCTCAGACTGCCCTGGACAGGACACCCCCCTCTATCTGCCCAGGGCTGGCTGGGAGCTCAGCCAGTGGAAGTCAGGACCACGCAGGACTTCACCACTTTCTGAGTCCCTCAGAGGTGAGAGGGAAGGGGACCGCAGAGGAAGAAAAGTCTCCAAAACAACTACAAAAATAAGCACTTTATTAAACAGGATTCTCAATGGATAGGGGCGTCCAGCGGTATCACTGGGCCACACTGTTGAGTCTGGGTGCATCAGTGGGGATTTTGGGCCGAAAGAAACCATCCAGGACTTGTTGGCCTGGGCTGGGCTTTTTCCAACTGGACAGAGTAGACACCTGGGATCTTTTGGAACTCTGTTCAGAAGCCAAAAAAGGCACTGAGAGGATGGCAAAGAATATTATCCTTTTGCCCCTACCCCCACTCTGCTGATCTAGTTGACTCTATCCTGAATGTGGGAAAGCTTCCAACCTATTTCCAGGATCTGCCTCTTTGGTCAACTCTCTAAAAGGCAGTCAGAGGTAATCTCCCTCAAATATAAATCTGAGTTCTCTCCGCCTAATGCTTCAGTGGCCTGGTGTTCATGGCCCTGCTCACTGCTCCAGCTAAACCAAATGCTAAGAGTTCCTCATACACTGCCTTGTGCCCACCATTACTTACACTGCTCTTGGGCCTGGAAGAACATCCTTGTGCTGATTCCCTTCCCAAACCCAGATTACCAGCTGCTGCTTTCAAGCGGCCTTTCCCTCATCCTTGCCTCCTAGACAGAGCTGAAAGCTCTCCACCTGCCTCACAAAATCTAATACAAACATTTCACACCCTGACACTACTGTCTCCATCATTTGCTCTTGTCCCCTATCCATCTGGACTCCAGATTAACTGCAAGGTCTCCAGGTCAAGAACTATTCCTCTCCCCTTAGTGAAACCTGGAGTGGACCATGTTCACCCAAACGTGTATCGCCTGACTCAGGGAACACCTGTGGATTCAGGCTTAGGGAGGGAGATGGCTGGGTGAGGGCCAGGGTCTCTCACCTTGCAGGTCCGTGGCTGCTGGCCCTCGTATACACGGAACACCTAGCAAAGAAGGGAGGGAGAAAGTACAAGGCTGGCACCTTCACCCAAGAGCCGGAACCCTGAGTTCTGACCTCAACATCATACCCCAGCACTTTGAAATACATGCTGTTCCTTTTCATTTACATGGTAATAGGTTCATGTAGGGCACTTATGAAACAATGACAACAAAGACAACAAAAATAGTGCCTTTTTCATGGCAGCAGAGACAGCAGCAGTGCGAAACTCCTCCCGGGTCAGCCAGCGAGCGCCAGGTGGTGTGATTGTCACTGGGGCCTGCCCTTCCAGGGCCAGACCATATACTTGATAGGTCAGCTTGATGTGAGAGAAGCTGTGGACCACCTGGGGGAGGACCATGGGGTTGAAGCAGGCCTGTGGCTGTGGCTGAAAAAGCCATCATTGGCCCCTCGCTGCTCCCTCACCTGCCCAAGGTGCCGCAGGCGGGTGGCTGGGACGGGCCCGGCCCAACTCTGCAGTTCCTGCAGCAGGGCCTTGCGCTGATGCTGCCCAAAGGGCTCCACCGTCACAGATGGGAACTCCCACAGTCCCGCCAGCAGACCTGAGGCAGAGGTCAGCAGGTGCGGGTTAGGCCTTAGCTGTTAACTCCTCCGTTTCTCCCCTTTTCCTCATGCCACTGCCCTCACTCCCAGGGCCCGGTACCTGAACTGGGCCTCTGCACCAGCAGAATCTGGGCTCCCCCAGGGGTCCTCAGCTGCTCCAGAACACAGGTGGCAGAGTATTCCTCCTTAGGGGGCCTGCGGCTGGCCTTTCTGGGAAAGTTGGCCACTCCCAGGGTCTGGTCCCAGGGCTCTGTAGGAGGTGTGCACAGCCGGCACTGTCCAGTGCTGGGAGCTGGGAACAGACCCCCAAGCCCCACTCAGGCCAGGCGGGCTTAGGCAAGAGCAGGCCTTGGCCCATCTCTGTAGAATTTTACTCAGATTGTAGGATAAACTGGAATGAGGCTTCCAAGGGTAGCTCCTTTACAGCGCAGGGAAGGGCTGGGACTAGGGCAAGCACTTACTACACTCCTCCACGTCAGGACTTCCCGACAGGCTCTGTGAATCTAGAAGCTGTTCCTGCTCTACCTGAGAGGCATAGGGAGAGATGTCATGAAGCAGAGGTCAGTCCTAGGACCTGACTGCCCCTCCCCCTGATGGCTCACCCTCTGGTGTGCCTGGCACAGGTTCTGCACAGGGCACTGGCTGCAGAGCGGGCGCTGTGGGGTACACACTGTGGCCCCCAGTTCCATGGCTGCCTGGTTAAAGTCTCCTGGCCGGGCTGGATCTACCAGCTGCTGGGCTAAGCTCCTACCAGAAGGGAACATTTCTGTGAGCCAAAGACCCTTTGGTGGCACCCTTCCCAATGTCCCGCATTACCTCAATATCCTACCAGAGCTGCTGGGAGACAAGGGTGCTGCTGGGATCAGCACCAATGACTCGGACGCGGCATAGCACCCGTACTACATTCCCATCCACCACACCGGTTGCCTGGCACAAAGGAGTCTAGAAGTCAGCCTGGGCTGGTAGGAAAGTGGGCACATACAAGACGGGAATGGGCTATGGGCTCACCTGGCCAAAGGCAATGGAAGCAATTGCTCCAGCTGTGTACCGCCCCACACCAGGTAGAAGCTGCTGCAAGGTCTCTGCTGTACGTGGAACATGGCCCCCTAGCTCCTCTACCACCTGATTGGGGTGGGAAGGTTCAAGGTCAGGAGACACCTAAGGCCCTGGGGATCCCACCTTCCCTGCCACCCACTTACCTTTCGGGCTCCCTCCAGCAGCCTCCGGCCTCGAGAGTAGTACCCTAGGCCAGCCCAGAGCTGGTTCACCTCCTGTGGGCGAGGTCAGAGTCAGAGATCAGAGAGATCAGCGGTCAATCCTCTGTTGTCCCCATTTTCCCCTTAGTATGGGTCTTACCTCCAGGGAAGCGCCAGCCAGATCCTGCAGTGTTGGCCACTTCTATAGCCAAAAGGTAGGCAAAAATAGATGAAGTCAAGGGTGAGGGACATGGAGGAAGCCTTCTTTACCCCAACCCCAAAGGACAGGCTCTCTCTGGGATCTAGCCCATGACCCTCCCCTCCCTTCCCTGACGTCACCTGCATCCATCTGTTATAATAGTCGATCACCGTGGCAACCTGGGTCTGCTGCAGCATGACCTCTGAGACCCACACTGGGGGAGAGGGGTTGGCATGAGGGCACTGCTGACCTGCCTGCTACTAGCCCAGAGCCCCTGCCCCCAGCCCTGAGGGCACCCAGGCAAAGCAGCTCCGCTCTCAGGAGATACACTCACCGGCATATGCCCGCCTGTCCAGGTCCTCCTCACCCTCTGCCTGCCAATGCAATCCCAGACGGGGAGTTAGTGGGGAGGGGCTGGGCGCTAGCCTCCCACTCCACTGTCCTTGTCCCATGTTTGCCTACCCGCCTTCTCCAGGGTAGGTCCCGCTTCTCTTGGTCGTACCACCTCAGCAGGTTCTCCCGAAAGACTGTGACCTCGGCTGTATCTCTGAATAGATGGTATAGGCAGACAGGGGCCTGCAATACCACCTCCTCCTGCCGCCTGGCGAGGCCTGCTGGGGCCTCAGGAAATTCAGGAGCTGTCCCTGCACAGGCTGTGCACCCAACCTGGGGCACTGCAGCCTGGTGCAGTCTGCTTCCAATCAGGGCTACCCCAACTCTCAACCCCTCGCTTGAGCCTTGGACCTGGAGTCAGATCAGAATTCTCTAGCTGTGTGTAACTTTAGCCAACTTTTCAGCCTTAATTTTCCCAGAGTGGTACTCTCTGGATCATGATGAAAATGCAAGAGTTTCAGAGAAGCGTAACATACCTGTGCAGGGCTTTCCCATTTAAAAAATATTTTCAGGCTGGTAAACTCATTTGATCCCATGAAAGCCACATGAGGAAGAAAACGCAAAGACTACTGCTCCATGTTGCTGGTAAGAAAGCTGCCATTCCAAGCAATTATCCCAAAGTCACACAGCAAAGTCAGAATCAGACCCATAATTAGTACCATAATGTCTTGATATATAGATACCACACTCCCTTCCTAACCTGAGTCTGCCCCCTTGCATGGCCAATGAAACCAGCCCCGAGTGTTTTACTGGCTCCAAGTTCCTCACCATCATGGACAGGGGGCTTGGCCTGGTTGCTGCTAAGGGCATGTTTCTCCCTTCTCTCCTGGCTGGATGCCTGCTTCCTGTGACGACTTCCCATAACTGCTTGTGGCTTCTTTATGATGGCCTAGAACACAAAGGCCCAACCCAAGTAGTCAGTCAAAATGAGGCTGAATCTTGGGGCTCTGCAGGGGGTGGACTAAATTGAGGCTTGCAGAGATTAAGCAACTTGTCCATTCAAACCCAAAAAGCTTGCTTCTAGAATCTACACTCTTATTTATTTTTAGAGAGGGGAAAGGAGGGAGAAAGAGGGAGAAAAACATCAATGTCTGGTTGCCTCTCAAGTGCCCCCTACTGGGAACCTGACCCACAACCCAGGCATAGGCTCTGACTGGGAATCAAAATGCGACCCTTTGGTTCATTTGACTGAGTTCCGGCCTATGAACCAAAGGGTTGCCAGTTCAATTCCCAGTCAGGGCACAAGCCTGGGTTGCAGGCCAGGTCCCCCGCAGGGGGTGTGGGAGCAGCAACCATACATTGATGTTTCTCTCCCTTTCTCCATCCCTTCCCCTCTCTCTATAAATAAATAAATAAATAAATAAATCTTAAAAAAATGGGTAGGGGGTAGAATGTTGCAATTTTAAATAATGTGGTCATGGTAGGCCTTATTAAATCATATTTTGATCAATGACTTAAAGCAGTTAAAGAAGTTAGCCATGTGGGTACCTGTGGGAAAGGCATACCAAGAAGGAGCTACTGTAAAGGCCCTAAGGAGGGTGCCTGGTGTGTCTGTAGAACAATAAGGAAATCAGTGTGGTTATAATAAAATGAGGAGGGTGGGAGGAGTAGGAAATAAGGTCAGAGAAATAAGGTAAAGGTGGGGAGGGCACTATATCACAAAGTACCTTGTAGGCCACTGGAGGACTTTGGATGTCACACCCATTGCTCTTAGAAGCCAATCCTCTTAATACAGCCTTGCAGGTACCAAGGCCCCATCTGCCTCATCGCCCTAGATCCTATGCTCAAGCCATGTTTGCCTCAAATAGATGCTTCAATCTGCCAAGTGTCTATCCACCTTGAGGCCTCACGCATCCATTTCCTCTGCTTGGACAACTCTTCTCCTATGCTTTCCAAAAATGTGCTTATTTGTCAGGCCTTTTTTCTTTTCTTTTTTTCAGGTCTTGACTTAAATGTCCCAATCAGGTCTCCCCAGTCTTGCCCTCTTGTGTACTTCTCCACTGTTGCCCTTACACCAATTGCAATTTGAAACTTATATGTGATTCTTTGATCCGTGTCTGCTTCCCCAACTTGACTGTAAAACTCCACGACAGCAAGTACTGGGTCTCTTTTGTGACTGTTGTGTCCCCTGAGCTAAGCACAGTGCCAGATCAACTGTATACAACAAATACTTGTTAAATAAATGGGATGAGGGCATTTTCCTTATTTTTAGAATGGGAGAAATCCAAATAATTCTGAATAATGATGAAAAGGACTCAGTAGAGAGAAAGGTTGAATATAAACTACGAACAGTCAATAACCAAGAAGAAAGGGCTGAAAGTCCTTGGTAGGAAATGGAGCTCTTGGGAAAGGGCTGGTCTTTGATAGGGACACTGCCCTCCGGGTGGCAGGGGTCACGTCCAATCACCCTCCAGGTCAACTTATTTCCAAGTTGCTTACAATATATCCCCTCCACAGAGTCTATATTGCTGGAGCCTTAATTCAAGACCTTACCAACACTTGCTCGGATTATTTCAAAAGCTTCCCTGCTAGTGGATTACTCTAACCCCTCTGCAGCCTCGGCTCCTGCCCACCTCCTTGCCTCTTTCACTTCCTGGAACGCAGAGAGCTTCCCATCCTTCCAAGGATCTTGCCCTTTCCCAGAATATTCATCCTTCCCCTACATTCCCCGGTCTTTGCCTAACTCCTACGCGTGCTTTAAGCTTAGCTCCGGCGGCGCCACCTCCCTTAGGGACACCCACCTCTACCTAGGAGCCGTGTACTCAAGAACTGCCTAAATCTCAAACCCACGTTGCCCCTAGCCGGTACTCAAAGAGTTACCTTCCTTTAAACGGTTCCAGGGGGCGTGGCTCCGGCCAATCCGGCTAAGAGGTGGACCGTGATAGCCAATAGACTCCCAGAACGCTGAGAACCCACTTTTGTGCGCCAGACCCGGGAGGTCTGAACCGAACTCCGACCCGTCAGCGACTTCCGGAAGCAAGGGTTTGCCCCTACCCCGGACTGAGTAAATCGCGCCAGGAGACAAAGCGGAAGTCCCGCGTACCCACAGATTAGAGAGGGAAGCGCGGTGTCATGGCCGCCGGCAGTGACAATGGCGCAGCCTCAGTTCCAGCGGTCTCTGATGGTGAGTGGCTTTTCAGGGTCCGTCTTAAAAGCCTGTGGGCTCCAGGTGAGGGGAAGGCCTCGGGCTTATAGTTCTAGAAACCGACCTCAAGTTTCAGAGGGCTAGCGTCTTCCTTCTGAACCAGCCACGAGGAGACGATAAGTCCCGGTGTGCATCGCGGCTCGGGCTCACTAAGCCTGAAGTGTTGGGAGCATAGTTAGGGTAGGCGGGGGCATGTCGGGAGTTGTAGTCTGCAGCTCATTGCTTGGTGAAGTGGGGCAATTGGGAGTTGTGGTCCAAAGGAAGTGGGACGTATTGGAAGCCCCGGTGTGGGGCATTATTTATCAGGCTCTGGGGGCATACAAACTACTGCCAGTTGTGCCTGGTAGGGCACTGTGGGAACAGTATTGTGGAGCCTGATGAGATGTTAAAAGAGCTGAACTCCTCCAGCCATAACAAATAGTCTCTGCAGGACATGGAAAAAACGAGGCTCACACATTATCCCAAATTTTGTCTTCTACAGATAGTGATACTGAGGGAGATTTTCCCCAAAATCTCACATAAGCCACTGGGAAGACGCAGGCTTTCTGCCCCCAAATTCAGGGCACCGTTCACTCCAAGGCTGATGTGTAGAGCATGCCAATAACAAAGGCTTGAGGGGAAAGCTGCTGTTTCTTGCCGTCCTGGAAAATGTCCCCAAACCATAGCCTAGCTTGGTATTTTTTCTCAAGGCCCTTGCCTGAGCATTAACATCATGGTCCTGTTTTCCTTACCCCCAGGTGGTGTCAGCAAAAGCTCAAAATCTGAGGAGGAGCTGGTAATCCAGGTTCCTGTGGTGGATGTGCAAAGTGACAACTTTAAGGAGATGTGGCCATCCCTTCTGTTGGCCATAAAGACAGCTAGCTTCGTGGCAGTGGACACGGTGAGGGTTTGGGATTGGGGAGGGCAGGTGGTTGTGAAAGTGCTCATGCTGGGGACCTAACTCATCCCTCCCTTTACCCACCCATAGGAACTGAGTGGGCTGGGGGACAGGAAGAGTTTGCTGAACCAGTAAGTATAAGCTATGATCGCTTTGACTAGGGGAATGGGGAGCAGGGGGGTAGACCTTAAACCTGGAGTAAAGGTCACATCCTGGGTGGTTTGGGTCCTTCATGAGACTAACTCCTAGCCACAGCCACCCCTAAACCCAACTCCAAGGTGCATTGAGGAACGTTACAAGGCCGTGTGTCATGCTGCCAGGACCCGGTCTATCCTCTCCCTGGGCCTCGCCTGCTTCAAGCTGCAGCCAGACAAGGTATGGGGCTGATTTCACCCCCTTCCCAGGTTTGTGGCTGGGGGGAAGAGGAGGGTTGAGATCCTGGGGTACATCATGTGTAAGGTTTTGATGTAGCAGACTCTCTTTCTCTCCCAGGGTGAACACTCATATCTGACCCAGGTGTTCAATCTGACCCTGCTGTGCATGGAAGAGTATGTCATAGAACCAAAGTCTGTGCAGTTCCTGGTACAGCATGGCTTCAACTTCAACCGGCAGTATGCCCAGGGTATCCCGTACCACAAGGGCAATGACAAGGTAGGCCTCCAGCCTTGAGACTGCCCCTTCTGTGACTTCATTTTCTTCCTACCCTAGGCCGGATGCACAGAGAGGATCTGCTGCTTATGGAGAATGGGGAATCACTGGTGACAGGGCTGGAGAAGACTAGTGCATGGGTGAACAGCAGAGTTAGGCAGGGAGGGCGTGCTTTCCAGGTAGGGGAGCTTGGAATAAGTATCCTGTAAAAGAGGCTCCCTATGGGACTGTGTCCTTCCCAATGACCCCTTTCTTTCCACCCAGGGTGATGAGAGCCAGAGCCTGTCAGTGAGGACACTGTTTCTGGAGCTAATCCGGGCCCGCCGGCCCCTGATACTGCACAATGGTCTCATAGACTTGGTGTTCCTGTACCAGAATTTCTATGCACACCTACCTGAGAGCTTGGGTACCTTCACTGCTGACCTGTGTGAAATGTTCCCAGCTGGCATTTATGACACCAAATATGCTGCTGAGTTTCATGCCCGCTTTGTGGCCTCCTACCTAGAATATGCCTTCAGGAAATGGTGAGGGACTGGTTGGGGGCAAGGGGTAGGACCTGGTATAAACCTGTTTCATTCATTTAAGATATTTATTGGGGGGTTACCATGTGCCAGGCACTGTTTTAGGTGCTGAGGACTCAGCAGTGAACAAAAGAGACAAAAACCCCTGTTCTCATGAAGTTTTTATGCTAGTAGACCAATGCCCTCTTGCACTGTTTCAGTGAGCGTGAAAATGGGAAGCAGCGGGCAGCTGGCAGCCCACACCTTATCCTGGAGTTCTGCAACTATCCCTCTAGCATGAGGGCCCACATAGACTACCGCTGCTGTATGCCCCCTGCAACCCACCGTCCTCATTCCACCAGCATCTGTGATAAGTTTTCGGTGAGAGCACCCACCCATTTCCTGGGGGAGGGAAGGTTCTGATACCTGGAACCCCTCTCTAAGCCTCCTTCCTACCTTTAGGCTTATGGCTGGTGCCCCCTGGGATCACAGTGTCCTCAGTCCCATGATATTGACCTTATCATTGACACTGATGAAGCTGCCATGGAGGACAAGCGTCGACGGCGTCGACGTAAGGAAAAACGGCGGAGGGCTTTGTTGGGCCTGCCTGCAAAACAGACCTCTGGGGAAGCTGAGGATGGTCCTCCCACTAAGCAGGTCTGTGGGGAAGGCCTCAAGGCTGAGGAAATGGAGCAGGAGGTGGCTGAGGATGAGACTAGCAACCAGCCTGGCTCTGAGCAAGATCACAAAGATGACCTGGAGGTGGAACTTAAAGCAACAAGGTCTGAAAGAGGTGACATGGCTACCTTACAAGCACCAGGGAGTCTAGCCAGTCCTAACCCAGTGCCTGGGGATGGATTGCATCGGGCTGGTTTTGATGCCTTTATGACAGGTTACATAATGGCCTATGTGGCAGTGAGCCAAGGACCCCAGCCCTGTAACTCTGGACACTGGCTACCCGAATGCCACAACAAAGTATACCTGAGTGGCAAAGCTGTACCCCTCACAGTGGCTAAGAGCCAGTTCTCCCGTTCCTCCAAAGCCCACAACCAGAAGATGAAGCTGGCTTGGGGCAGCAGCTGACCTAACTACTTCTCTGCACTCAGAGCCTAAGAAGAGAAAGCTGAGGGTAGGACAGAGAGGGCTGGGTCCCTCTAGCCTGTGAATGTCCTCCTCCCAGCTACTACCGAGTTGAGGAGCAGGGGGTTCCTGACAGACACTGCTACATTGCTCCTGGACCTTCTTGACCCCAGAGGCTGAGGAACAATGGTACAAGTAAGAAGACTGACCAGCACCTGTAATGCCAACTTTATTTTTAAATCTGAAAGTGTCTTGGGAAAGATTTACCAAAAAAATCAGCAGAAACAAGTTATGAAAATATCTGACCAGCTTCATCTTTGGTTATTTCTTATTGCGGCTCTATAAAGACAGGCTGTTCCCATGTCTCCAACCACAGCAGGAAGGGAAGAAAATCAGTCCACGTATAAACCGTTTAACCAATTGGGTATATCACATGTTGACAAAGACAAAGAGCAGGCCCTAGGGCCTACAAAACCAGCCCCACTCCCAACCACAAGGTTGAAAGTTATAGGGCAGAACATTAAGACTCCTTCATAAATATGAAAATAGATTAATCAGCTGGAAAAGTTCTTTGAATAGGTTAGCTAAGAGCCATGACCACCACGCGGCCTTGCCCTCCCCTTGCATAGAAATGTAGTGACGTGGTCTGACTGTATAAGTGCAAACAGCAATTATTCAAGTGTCTTAGACATACTGGCAAGAAGCACCCCAGTCTTCAGGTCTAAGAAATAGTCAAGCCCTTGACAGCCTCCTGGTCATTTCCAGGTTCCATCCAGTACTTATATGCCCCAGAGAAGGGCAAGAGATAGACCTGGGGTGGAAGAATAACCTGGGGTAATGGCTGCCTGCCAGCTCAGACTTAGAACTAAGAGTCTTCTGGTCCTGTCTGCAGAAGTGCATTGTGGGGTCAGGTGGGAGCCAGAGCTCCTTGCTGGATTTCAGAGGCTTGGTATCGACTGTTGGCCCTAATCAGGAAGGCCTCTCTGCTGCCTCCCCTTTCATACACAGCCATGGGGCACCGGGAGCCCTAAACTTGAGCCTGGCTTGGCCTAGCCTGCCAGTTCTGTGGGCCCCAGGGAAGAGTCAAAGCTGTGCACCACGGGGGGCCTGTGGCTTCAGCTGAAGGTCCATCCCCAAGGTAAAGCAGGGATTAACTCCTCTCACCCATCCTGTTCTCCCTGGGTTTTCAGGCCTATGCCTGAGACAGAGAAGGGGACTTGAGCCAAGCCTCTTGGCCTTTCTTATTCTACCTCCATCTCCTCAGAGGTACCTGCAAGGCATGGACTGGCCCCCTGAGGTCTGGGCCCAAAACCATTTTCTTCCTGGGGAGTGGAACAGTCCATGGCTTCATGCCCTGGTGCAGCTGCTCGGAATGGCGGGATCTCTCTTACTTTGTACTTGAGACTACTGAGACGTGGTACGGGCCCATCAGACTGTGACTCCTCTTGACCTATAAATGGACAGGCCTCTTGATGCAAGAACTCTGGTGAACCAGGCAAAGAACGCCACCGGCGAGCAGGTGGGGCCAGGGGTTCCTGCCAATCAGCCACAGGCATTCCAGGCCCTGGTGCATCCAGGTCAAATACAAGGGAGATAACAGACTTGCTGGGCAGGTCAAAGAACTTGATCTTGCCACCCTTGAGATCCTGGCGAGCACTGAAAGGGTTGATTTTGGGTGTGCGAGTAGCAGCACCTTGTGGCTGGTAGTAGGGGTCCAAGACATTCACTGTACGTGGGGGCTTGTGGGAGAAGATGTCTGACTGGCTTCGAGACAGCCAGATAGTACGTCTTGGGCGTGGGGACTTGGGAGGGATCTTGTCATCTAGTGAGCTCAGTCGCTTCACCCCAGGTCCTTTTTCCAAGAGTCCTGAAGAACAGTACATCAAGTCAGGGTTACTTTCACTAGTCACAACAAATAGAAGCAGTATACAAAGTGGCCTTTTTTCTTTCTTTTTTTTTTTTTCTTGAGGCAACAAGTAGGTACTGTTGTCCTCATTTCACCAGTGAGAGAACAGACTCAAAGAAGGGAGGTG